TTTTGTTCTGATCGGTAAATTCTGGTATCAAAATGCAATCAAAAGAATTATTTTAAGAAAACTATATTCTTGTACTTTAATATAGAAACACAAATATTAAATAACGAAAACAAACCAAAGTAATTTGAATTGAAATTAAAACGCGCGTATAAAAATCTGAGGAAATTGTTTTATTTATTTATTTATTTATTTATTTTTTTTTGGCGCGAAAATAAATTTACATTAAATTAATTTTTAATTAATTTCAAGAGAGAAAAGGTAATTAATTATGTAATTTTAATTACGGTTGTAAATTCATTCCCTTTTAGTTGAAAAAAGAAAAAAAACCCGAAGCTAAATTAAAATAATTAACGGGCTTATGTAATTTTAATTACGGTTGTAAATTTATTCCCTCTTAGTTGAAAAAAGAAAAAAAAAAACCCGAAGCTAAATCAAAATAATTAACGGGCTTCTAGAGCATCTATCTACATTGTATTTTTTGCAAATTTACCCCAACTTTGCCGAATTCTCTATAAATATTTCAATACAACAACATCCAGTCATCTAAAAATTAGAAAAACTTCTTGTAAATTGAACGAACGAACGAACGAATGGATGGATGATTGAATGGATGACTGAATGAATGAAGAACGGTCATTCACATAAAGCATTAATGTGTATTAAACAGAAAAAGAAGAAGAACAAAAACATCAAAGTGCAAAACGTTCCGTAACAATTCAATTTTAGATATGCACGAAAGCTTGCTTATATTCGGCAGGCAATTATTGAGAGCCGAGTGAGAAAACACGTTTCATATGTAAACCGTCCAACATCCGTCTTTCTAATATGTGGTTTCTCATTTTTTTTTTTTTTTTTTTTTGGCGATTTTCGTAATTCTTTCTCAAAATCAAACAACGTTTGCAAGATTTTCTTCCATTTGCAAATTAATTAATTTCGAATAATACCAATTTTTTTTTTTTTTGTTTTTGCAAAAGTTCTAAGAAAGAAAAAAAGACATTACCGTGACTCACTTTTTCCATTGATGACATAGTGCGCCGTGTAAAATATGATTTTCATAAAATGAATTTTTCGACTTACCCCTGCCGACAGACAGAATTGATTAAATTAAAGAAACGGAAAACGGAAAGAAAAGAATTTACAATGGTTTGTTTAGAAAGTACCGGTAGAGTTAATACATTATTCGTAAACATTGATTTTTATAAATAAAATGTAAAATGTATTAGTTTTTTTTTAGTTAGCCATATAGATGCATTATATACATATACTATAA